GGGAAGGGAGGTCCAAGGGGAGTGGAATTCAGTGTGCAGACATGGTCAGGCCTCAGAGGTGAACTCTGAGTACTTGTGTGTTTTCACTTGAGGAAGGAGTGGAGGACAGGAGAAGTGGAGAAAGTCAGACTGGAAGTGGGGTGGGGTGATGAAAATCTAGGGCGGGGGCAGCTAGCCAGCTTTTCTTCCCCAAGACAAGGAGCAGCTTGTTTGATAACTGTAGAAACAAGTAACCCTGGTTTCTATGTCAGAGAAATATCAATGGAAAGTTTTGCAAAGGTGGTCCAAGGCAAAGCCATGAGGCTGGCTGATTAACATGGGTCAGAGTTTTAGGATAAAGGAGTACTAATAGCAGACTATCAGGCAGCAGCCAGTTAGGAGATAATTTGGGGATTTGAGGCCCTTCAGGGCCTTGTACTATAGGTAGCCACCTTCGGACACAGCAGGCCCTGAAAGGTCACAGTAATAACGCTTAGCGACTCCCAGCCCAGGAGGTCAGTTTCTATGCCACTTCAGGATAAGAGGCCACCAACTGGGAAGTGGTGCCATCGCCAAACTCTGGGAAGTCCTCCTTTCTACCCGATGATTTCCAAGGGATTCCCTGTGTCCATCCTCGTGCCTGCTGGAGGATGAAGGGCTGTAAGGGCCTCCTCGTACTGGGCAGCAAGGTCTAAAACTCCAAACCAACTAGAGCGATCGACTCCCTGTCTGAGAGGGTAAGAGGATGAACTCTGGAGGAGACAGACAGGGTTAGCACACGGCATGCATACCTACTAGATATGTGACTTTGAACAAATCACTCAACTTCTCAGAACTTCGGTCTCTTCATCTGTAACATAGGATAATACCTCTATTACAAAGCCTGATGGAGAGAATGCATATAAAGCACTTAGCAAAATGCTTGGCTCTGCACAAGTTTTCTTACAAAAGGGTAGCTGTGATGGGATGGGAACAGCAGATGAACCTGTAGAAGCAGACAGGCCTGGGCTTGAACCTTGGCTCCACGCCTTGCTGAGTGGTCTTGGGTGAGTCACTTGGCTTCTCTGGGGCTCTGCTGCCTGACCTGTGAACTGGAGCTAATAACAGGCCCTCCTTCAAAGGGAGATTGGGTTAATAAGTGAGATAATCCATCCCAGGTGCTTAGCACAGTGCCTGGCAAAGAGTAGGCACCTTTCAATGCCAGCTCCTTCCCCCTCGGCTTCCATGGGCCTGTGTTCTCACCTGCCAAGCACACGAGTCTTGCCCAAGTCCCAGGGCTGTGACACACGCTCAAAAACGCTTTGAAAGCACAAATGTTCCCCTAGTATTGCTGTTCCTTGGCACACCATCCCATCCACCCTACCCCCCAGCAAAGGGAAGAAGCCTTCTGAGCCTTGGATCCTCCCAGAGGTGGAGTTCCCTATGATTCATTCCTTACTTAAAACATCAACTCCCTCCCAGGGATCAGATGGCATCCCAGTGGTCATTTTGCTCCTCGTTAACTTCTGCACAGGTGGCTCTGCCTATGGAACAGTAAGGCATAGGGGATGGGCAGGGCTGTGGCCGCTCACTGCCCACTAGATGGAGCTGAGTTGGAAGCCTCCGCTACTTCCCCTCTCCAAATCAAGTCACAGGGATCAATGCCCTGGGGACCATGGGAGTCACAAGAATGAGAGGAGGGAATCTGGGCGGTTAGACTTTTGGAGACCATGGGGACAGGACAGGTAGTTGGGAGCCTCTCACAACCCCTCATCTCATGCTTCTCCTCGAAGGGCCCTTTCCCCGCAATTCAAGGGTGTCCGCCTCCACCCTGGCCCAAAGCTAACTTCTATGAGGCCGCCCCACACATGTGGTCTGATATATCCAGTTGGTAGGTTTGGCGTTGAAAATAAACCTGGGTCACTCCGAGGGCTGTGACTATCTGTTTGCCAGGAAGCCAGCAGGAAACCTGCTGAGTTCCTCTCCACCCCCGCTCCTGCCCACAGAGCATGGTGACCCATGCAGGTCACAGCTAAACTTAGCCTGGCAAAGGGCCAGGGTCACAGGCAGCAGGGGCTAGGGCAGAGGGCTGCAGGTCGTCGGCCAGAACCAGTGATTTATTCAGACTGTTACTTTGAGCCGGGCCAGACCCTAGGGGAGAAATCTAAGATAGCCCCTCCCTTCCCTGAGGTCCCTCACTCCTGCATCCCCCAGGACCCTATAGCACCTCCATCATAGCTTAATCCAGTGAACGCCACTTCAAGTTGTCTAAGAGTGACACACTTCTGTTCACCAAGCCCTCTGTAGGATGTGCTGGGCACTGTATACAGTGACCTCCTAAGTCGGAGTATATCCCTATTTCACAGATGAGTTGACCAAAGCCCAAGAGAGGAGGTAATGTTTTAGCTACACAACTAGAAAAGGAACAACCAGGCTGAGATTCGGCCTGTTCTTTCTGCCTCCCCCTGCAAAACCCAAGTTCTTTACACAGTGCTATGATTACAGAGCACCTACTGTGAGCAAGGGACATGCCAGGTGCCACAGGGCCCACAAAGATGAGTGAGACATGATCCTCAGCAGTAAAAATACAACAGCCCACATGGGGAAGCAGACAGCCACCAAGTATGTCACAGGACAGAATGAGCTGGGGGCATAAATGGCGTGCAACCAGCGGGCTACGAAAAGGCAGAAGGAGAGAGTTTCATTCCTGTTCACTGGCTGCTTTTGGTCTGTAGATAGCTGGGGGCATAAATGGCGTGCAACCAGCGGGCTATGAAAAGGCAGGAGAGAGTTTCATTCCTGTTCACTGGCTGCTCTTGGTCTGTAGACCTTCCTTGTGCCCACTTGCGGGGGAGATGTGGGTGTGCAATCCCTCTGCTCCACATCCACATCCCTGCCTCCTTCCAGACAGAATTCCTACAGCAAACTGAGAGCAGTGGAAACCTGTGTCCAACCCCATGACAGTTCATCAGTATGCCTTCCACCCCATCACGCACCTACCCCCACCCAGGGCTGGCTGACTAGAGCCCCAGCAACAGGTGTGCCCAGGATCCCCTACTCAGCAGCCTAGCCTTCCTCCCAGCATCACCTGGCAACTTGTTAGAAATGTAAATTTTCGGGTGTGATCCCAGACCGGCCAATCAGAAATTCTGCAGCTTGGGCCCAGCACCTGTGTGCGCATAAGCTCTCCAGGTGGTTCTAATGCCCACTCAAGTCTGAGTTCACCTCTGCCGAAGCTAGGCAGGCCTCCAGGGAGGAGGGTGGGGCCCCTCAGCGTCTGTGCTGTTCAGATCTTGGAGTTCGCCAAGGCTTTGCCCAATGCCCAGCTTGTCAGATGCAATTAGCTCTGCTAATTACAATAGCAAAAGCAGCCCTGTCCTTGGCATCCATCCTCTAAGCCCACAGGAGTAGATGATGGGCTTCCTTATGAAATGGAATAAAAGAGGTGGGTTAATGGGAGGCGAGGGTACTTTTTGCCACAAGGGGAGACTTGGGTCCCTTTCTCACTGCTTAGGTTCTGGGCCCTCCAAGAAAGAAGGGGCAAAAGGCGACCCAAACTGCTGATAAATTTGGGCCGAACCCCTATTGTGCACCTGGCCTTGTGCTGAAATTTCACAGGCCCAGCTAAGGCAGCACACAGTCCTTTGGGGGCAATAAAGCCACAATTTTAAGTGTCAAAATTTAGAGTTGTACTAATTTAAGCCTCATTTTGAGGAAATGAGATAAGAAAACCCAGCCCTAAAGAGGAGATGCATTTGCCTGGGAGGGTTGCGTTGGGGGGGCAGACGTGGTCTAGGCGGGCTGGACATCTCCCTGTGGACCTCACAGGGATCCCGGCACAGACAGGAAAGGCGCAGTGAAAGTGATGTTTTCAGTAACAGCCCACATTTAGGACGCGAAGTACTCTGCATGTGTTTTTTAATTTAATTTTCAGAATATCAGTTAGGTAGTTACAACATCCCTATCTTATGAAGAGACTGATGGTCAGGGAGGTCCACTGGGTGTCTTCTAAGAGTCCCTGTCTGCAGTGAGTCTGTCCCACTCTGTTCTCCCTCCATCCACCTAGGGGAGGAGTGGATCCTGCCACCTCCTTCTGCCCAGCAGCACTTCCCTGACACCATTGCCAGCGGCAACCACCAAAATCATCCATGCGGGCTAACCCTCAAGCTTCCCAGGCCTTGGAGAAACGAGGACTGTGAGACAGGAGAGGTTGAATGCAGAGCACGAGTTTGACCTTGAGTTTGGAGTTTGGGCCCGGGAGCACTGGTGAGGCTCTCCTCCATGGTGTGACCTATCCCCCTCAGCCACGATTCCACATTTCTTTCTATCAGAGCCCATGCCCCGGGCTGGGGTAACACCAGCTTCCCCACTGAGTCCTGTGGCACCATCATTTGGGGCTGGCTCAGAGGCCCCTCCTCAGGGGAGCCTGCCACTTGGTGCAGGCCTACCTCACCCTTTTCTGAACTCCGGCAGGTCAGGTCATCTTCCGCCAGTTGGTCTCTGCTTTCCTACCTACAGCTCCAGCAAGGTCCAGAAGCTGATGGGCCCTTGCCTCCCCCAAGGCTCCAGGCTCAGAGCTGGGCACATGACAGGCACACCCAATATGTCAGTGAGAGTTGACTCATCATGCATTTTGGAGGAGATGGTCAGCTGTGGGGGTAACATGTCTCCACCAACTTCTTCCTCTTCACCTAACTCAGGACCAGAGGACAGACAGACTCAGCACAGACGGTTTGACAAGAGCAGCTCTGAACACACGGATGCTCAGCATGACTGTCTCCCGCCCTTGCAGAACGGGGTCCCTGCGGGAGAGGAGAAAGGCCTTGCAGAGCTGGCCCAGACCCACCCCAGCAGGTGCAAGGCCATACAGCCACCACTGAGGCATTTCTGGCTGAGGTCTCATTTTATTTGCACCCCAAATAGGAGTGGAGGAGGGGATTTGTGGGAGAGGGGATGCTGAGCAGCCCTGGGGGTGGGGGCTGGGTCCTGGCAGGCCTCAGGCCCAGGCAGGAGAGGAAGGTG